CGAGATTAGTTCAAATAATCGTAGAATCGCAATATTTATTCATTTCTAAAATTTAGTTTTCCAGACTTAGCCGTTTGTTTAAGCAACCGCACATCGCGGGCACAGAAACAGGCCCCAACGCCTCGAGGGTGCCAGTGTAATAGGCCGCGACGCAACCTTAACCGACCCCCAGTTTCTGCAGTTTGTTGTTTTGAAGTGTGAGATATTGCGTGCTTGAAGACAGTGCCATGCAGAGCGCAGTAGAAGGCAGTAGTTTATTTTAACACAAGTTTAATCTAAGCTATAGGTGAGATATGGGGTGATAGCTTAGTGAACTAATGAGTGAAGACAGATATTGAGCGGGCGTTGGTCTGACATCCCCGATGGATATGCCTGCGTGGTAGGCGCCGCCTCTTCAAGAGATTTTGTCCATCTTTGTGGGAAAGGCGAGCGGCGCTTTTTGCTCTTCTCTCTGTTCGGCGGGGCAACTCCTGGAGCGCAATAGTGGCGGCGGTCTTTTGTCCATCGACGCCCTCGGGCGGTCACTTACGTGTTCGGTGGCATAACGGTTAATGGCTGTATAACTGGTGGTATAACGGTTCGGTGGTATAACGGATGTTGGACCCAAGTTTGTGGGTTCAAACTCGATCGATTAAGGGCGAAAAAATCCATTGTACACGTTGCTTCGGAGGGGAGGTGGCTGTCCCATGTGGTACAGTAAAATCTATGCCGGAATCGGTCGGGACAAAAAAGTATTCCAGTTCAGGGAGGTTTCCGTTTTATGCAGTTGTCCATTTAACGTCACTTGTGATATTGATATTTCCGTTCTGAAACTATTAAATCAATGTAAGTAAAGAAGAAATTAAAGTACGGTAAAAATTAAATTATTTTATTATGATTATTAAAATATGTGCATAAAGTGTTTTTCTGGCAGAAATCGCCAATAAATGAATATTAAACATTATTCATTGACAGCTTCTCTGAGTTTCTCTTGTTTCAATAAGTTTGACTTTTTCATCTAATGTTAGAGAATGTAAGAGTTTTATGGTTTTCGCATTATTAAATTGGTTGTGAAAATCATACAAATACACACCACCATACTTCCTAATGGTCGAAATCGGACTGCTTGGAGACACTCAACGCACAATGCGTCACAGCCCGAGAACTATAATTTTCTAATGCATCTCTGGCCGAGAGATTGCGATTTTGAACGTGGGGCCGGGAGAGGCGCGAATAGAAGCCAAGCCGGTCTCCTTCCCACGCTCAGAGAGGGGGGAGAAATTCATCTCCGGCCTACGCCCTAAGAGACAAATGACCCTCTTTTCTTCTGACGGAGTTTGAAGTTCTGAGAATTCCTTCTCATTGTTGGGATGTTATGGATGTATGAAACGCTGTTTTAACTGTTGAATATGCGTTGATGTTTTAGCTTTCGAAGAATAGTTTTCGCACCAAATGTTCTACAATTTGTAATGAGTTTTACAAGTGGTGACTGTGATTTGTTAATGCGAACAGAAAATGCGGTATTAAAATTTTAAGTAACTGTTTGGAATACGAGTGTCTCTCGCGGTTTAGAATGCATTTCAATACAAGATGAAAACTTAAAACTCATTTATTCGAACACCTGTTTTTGAGTTGTGCCGCTATTACATTCCTCGAACGATATTATACTGGATACAAAGTATTGTCTTTCTTGCCTTGTTTCTGTTAATTTAACTAAAGCTGGGCGTTTCAAATACTTCGCCCGAGGAAATACATTCCTACTGTTTACGCGAGTATATGTTTTCAAGCATTTGCAGTAAAACTAGAGCACTACCGGGAGATAGGCGGGAGGGAGAGAGCCACAAGTATTCTCCCGTGTTGGCCAGAGGATCAAAAGGTCACCGGTTTTCACCAGAAATTAAAGTTATAACATGCATTTTGTAGGGGTTTGTCAACTTTAATTTTGTAAATAATAGTTATTTCGATGACATAGTTTTATAGATAAAAATGAAAAACTGAAAAAAGTGTGAAATTTGTAGTTTTCTTGACTTTGCAAATTTCTCTGTGAAGCCGGTAAGTTGGTTTTGAGGTGGCAAACATTAAATTCGGATTCAGCTCCTCAAAACCGCATACAGAACTATTGAGAAAAAATCTTTAGGAATTTTTGCTTGGATTGGGCCCCTTTTGAGCACCAGTTGACTGGACTGTAGGCTGCTGGAAAACGGAAAAGCAGAAATGCACGGTGACATACAGAGTGGATACTGGGAAGCAATAGCTCTCTGGAAGTCTGTATCAGTCCACTTGTGCGGAAGGATTGTGGGAGCCTGAGGAAACTCGTTCAGGCGACTATCACGGATTATCAGGAACAAACTACGTGAACATGGAAAAGGAAAGAAACTCATAGATTTGCTGGATTCACAGTGCAAGAACATTGTTAATTATGCAGGAATCCTTTCAAAAAACGTATGTGCCTATTGGTTCGATAAATAAGATATTAGTACCTAAAAGCTCTCCATGGACGTCCATGAAAACTATGCCATACGTACGAAAAAGGAATCATTCAAGCCTAAAAAATGATTTTCAGGCAAACATGAAATTTAAACTGGCGTGATCTGAAACCATCTTTACCAAAATGAAAAGGATGTCTTTCGTGGAATATACTATTTGCTCCTTTCGTTGAATGATAAATTATATTACTTAATGCGAACGGAAGTCACTTTGAAACGTTTGTTTTCTAACATTGGAATTGCGCGATGATTTGTGACGTTGGTTCAAATTAGTAGGCAAGAATATTTTTAAAATTAATTTGTGACATGTACAGTATTTTTTTGCCTTTTTCAGTCCACTTGTATTGCACCTTTAGTTAAGTCTCACTCCAGAACTGCCCAAAAATACTTTCATCTTTAACTCTAAATCTATGTAGTATCTACATACATACTTAATTGTACTACCAGAGTGATACAGTATTACGTCTATGGTGTTATTTCTTGGATATAATTTTAAAATCTGTTAGTTAAGTCAATGGCGTTGCGTGGCATTTTTGTGTGACCGTCGCTTTTTTCGTAGTATTTATTGGTCTACCAGGTCTTTCTGAAGCGACGATGGGGTCGTAATATGTAGGGTTTTTTGTGGTTTAAATGTCGAAACTAATTTTTTCGGATATTTGTTTCACTTTTTAAAATAAATCTCCTGGATTTCCGTACAGCAATATAAAAATGCTTCAAAAATCTTGGTATGACGGCAAAACTGAAATGTATTCAATTCAATAAATGTTGAGTGGAAAAAAAATTAAAACTCGTTTGGTATTCGGTTATCATTCATTATGATTAATGCTTGTTCTGTAAGAAAGTGCACTCCTTTCTCGTATACAATTCGAAATACATATAATCTGCCATTTCAGCAAAAATATTTGTATCCAAGTTAGCAAAAATGTCTCAGAAAAATTCTTCGTTTCACGATCAAGAGCAAACGTTTTCAATCAGTCAAAAGCTTCAAATATAAGTGAACTAAATAGTTGATGGTTTTTTTTTTTCAGCTTAACTCTGATATCTTAATTTTCTTTCACTCTGCATGACAACTAAAAACATATAAATTCACTCCAAAAAAAATCAATTAAACACTCAATCAGGACGCGCACAAACAGAATTTACCGTTTCCCTCAAGAGTTCGCACGAGCTGGGAATAGCCGAGATTCAGTGAAAACAGCGATGACTCCAGTGGCTCGCCATGCAAAGGAATACGACACGACACCAAGTGCTCAGATAAGCCTCCACACGGCTGAGCATTACGGCTGCGGCCAGGCGGCGACGTCCCCATCTGATGCGCTAATATTGCCAAATCCTTGGAGTGTTTTTCGCTGTTTCATGGCTATTTCTCAGCTGATTTATTATAAATACTATTAAATTATCTGTCGGATTTATCCTAATATTCAATTCTTTTCTAAAATATTGAAAATACATTGCTTTTAAAATTTTGTTGGGTCCTTGGCAGATCTGTCGATGACCGAACGCTTTGGCCTTATTCTCGCCACAGAGTTAAGTTGTAGGTAATATCTACTTAACTTTAAAAGAAGTTAACTTTAAGTTAACTTTAAAAGAAGAGAAAAAAGATTGAGTTTGCAAAAGTCATTCAATCAAATGTAAAAACTAGTAAATTGCACGAATAGGTTAATGGAGAAAAGTAAGGAGAAAATGGTGTTGGTGTTACTTGCCTAAATATTGTTTTGACAAGATAGTAATTTGCTTCAAATTCATTACGAATGAAAAATTCGTTAGGAAATTAAAATAAATATGTATTGATAAAACCTTATTTTCTATTCACACTTGTGCGAATATAAAATTCTTTGATTCTCATTTGAATGAAAGAAAATGTACAAGAATCATTGGTGACTAGATGTTATTGAAATGTGAGTGACCCTTGTCATGTATTAAAGGCTGTGTCCATTACATTCACCATTTCAAACTAATCGCTTTAGAATAATTGGCCTATACTTTACAACATTATATGTTTGTTATAACATGGGAAGGTTCACATTTAAGATATTACAAGGTAGGGCCTTCTGTAAAATAATAAATGAATTGATTTGGTAGAGAATTTTATGAACATGCGTGAAAAAAGCTCATCACAAAAAAAAAAAAAAAAAAAAGAATGTTTTTAATAGGTAAGGTTTTTGAATGTAAGGACATTTTATACATTATGATGATGATGATGATGATGATGATGTGAGACTATTGAATCCTTGAAAGAGCAGGGTCCTCCTATCAAAACTCAGTGATGGTTCTGCTTATCTCATTTGGTAAACCAGGTTTTATACATACGTCACATACCATTGTCATATTATAGTATTATCATGAAGACACAAAGTAACTAATAGGCAAAAAACAGTGAGATTTATATTATGTCAGTGAATATTTATGGCACACTTAAGAGAATAAATATAATTGTAAAATTATCTACCTTACTACACAGTTTGAGAAATTCTGTAAGAGGTTTCAATTTGCTATTGAGTGATTTACAGTGGTGTCTCGTATGTTCTGTTCCAGTTTATTGCTGCAAGTGACAAGTTATGGTTCATGCTGGAGATGTACTCATTTGTAGATTATTTCACAATACCTCCGTCTTTTGTTTCCATTTATTTGGATAGAACATGGATAGGTAAGGACAACTATGTCCCTGCAGAGCATGAGTTAGTTTTCCTTTAAAAAATAGTTCACTCAAATTTTACGATCTTGCATGAATAATATATATTATGAGCTTTACTTGAACATTTGATTTTTGTAATAGAATTTTTATATAATCACATGCAATTAACTGTTTTAGTTGATCTGCCTCACTGTGTCATAGCAAAATCACAGCCTCTTTTGTAGTCTTCTAGTTGGTAGAAATGTAGTATAAAATGGCAGAATACTTTTACATAATTCATTACTATGTCATGTGTTTTAAAATATTCCATTCTGATAAAAAAAAGTTTTGTCTGAAATATGAAGTGAAAAATCTAAAGAAAGAATTTAATAAGGAAAATCAAAAAAAGGATGAAATAGTTTTGTCATGAAATTGTAATATAATTTTTTAAAGGGGAAATTTAAAAAAAATGTATTTTTGAATCTTCACTAGAATATTGTTTTCATTGCTATCAGTTACTAGGAATTTGCTTTCTTATTTCCCCAATATTCTTATACTAAATATCTTTTCATGTTCTTTTCAGGTTTAAGGTTTCTTAGAGCATTACGGCTGATGACAGTGCCAGATATTTTGCAGTACCTCAATATTCTGAAGACTTCAAGTTCCATTCGCCTTGCCCAACTGGTGTCTATTTTCATTTCTGTATGGCTCACAGCGGCAGGTATAATCCATTTGGTATGTAAATACCATCAAATGGCAAGAGATACTTTGTGTTAAGAAGAAAACAAATATTTATCTTTGTGTTTCAAAACATTTTTACGTTCCTTTCATTCAGTAACTTCTTTACTTTTAAATTCAGTTAGTAAAACATTGGCTTGCAGTATTGTTCAAAAAACTGGGATGCTAACTTAATCTATTGAATGATGTGAAATTACAAAAGATTTTTATTTGCAAGCTTTTCTCGACTGACTGACTATTCTGAGTTATTAACATGATTTGTTGAATAGAATTGATTGGTATTACTCCCTAAGAGTTTCATTACAAGAATATTCTGTAATTTTTGAAGTACATGAATATGTTCATAAGTTGCATTTATTCATGTCATAAATATAAAAATTCATTAAAAATACAAACTACAATTTATATCAAAATTGACATCTTTTCTCTGAAGAATCATACAATCAGAGCAAGTTTGTTGCATCTTATCATTGTTGGTATTTAAGAAAATTTCCCTTCAAGGTTGAGAATGTTGGCATAAAACTGATGCAATGTATTTTGGAGTATTCATGTATTAATTTACTCAGTTCTGAAATGAACACAAGTTGTACCTAAGAAAAAGTAATAAGTATAAAATAATTTAATTTTGATGGATTAAAAATTAATAAAATTCACTTAAATATTAAATAATTAATAAGGCTTATTCAAATGTTACAGAAATCTAATACTAAATTTATGGTATAAAATTTAATTACAGATTGATTATGAGTTATCAAAGATTAATTGTTGAAGTTGGTAATTAGTTGACTGTTAATATTTGTTTTAGGAATATGACATATTCTTCACTCATAAATATTTTCACATTTATTGCAATTGAATGAAAATCACGGACTTGAGAGATTTCTTCAGTAGTTTGAAACATTTGCAAAAAATAGTTCTTTCATAATTAATATTTTCTTTGATAACTATTTCTGTCACTGAAACTTATGTTCCAATAATCTTCTAAATGCAGAGCGTAGGTTGGGTGGGTGTTAGCAGTCAAATGTAGATGTAAAAGGGGATGTTTGCATCAGTGCGGTAGCAGATAACCAAGTCAGTGAGCTGCTATGGCAACACTGTCTCCACATAGCTTTTCATCTCTGAGAGGGAAATATTTTGACAACTTGGTTTAGATACCTGTGAATAGAGGTAAACAGTACTGTACAAGTCTCAAGATGGCAATCCATATTCAATGGTTAAGGTACATTGTATTCATATACAATCCAGGGATGAAAGCGGAAAAAAAGAGAAGAAAAAAAAGTTCACAGAATTGCATTCGGCCTCTGGAAAGTCATGTAATGGTAGAAATCCTTGTATGTGTGTAATTGAGCTAACCAAGATCATTTGAATTATAGCAAATTATGCTGGAGACCAAATGATTAGTCATGCATTCAAATCCAACTATGGAAAGTTGTGCACCTTCTAACACACTTGTCAGCTCTTATTGTAATGCAACATATTTGACAATAAAAATATAATTTATATTGCACAAGTTCGGAGAAGGTGTTTTTGCTTTAACCCTAAGCAGTAGTTAAAATATATTGATGTATAATTTATTAAACTTTTAATCTATTATTTTTGTTTATTCTCTGGTCCTTTTTTGACTTAATATTATACTGTTATCTTTTTATTAACAGTTAGAAAACTCTGGTGATCCTTTAGAATTCAACAACGCTAACCATTTGTCCTACTGGACTTGTGTATACTTCCTCATTGTCACCATGTCCACTGTGGGATATGGAGATGTGTACTGTCAGACCGTCCTTGGAAGAACATTCCTTGTATTCTTTCTACTAGTTGGCTTGGTGAGTAATGATTTACAGTGTTATTAAAATTTTTCTAGAACTATGTTACTTAAACATCAGTGATATGCAGCAACCTAACTTTGTTTGGACACAGTCCTTTGTTTGGACTGTCCTACTCCAATTTTAGTTTATGAAATTTATATTATATTGTCTTCCACTGGTAACTACTATCACACCCAAGATCTGTTATTTCAGACACATCATATCCTTTTAATTAATCATTACAGTTCCCCAAAGATTCATTCATATATACACTCTCCTCTCTGACATACTCAGCTTGACCCATAGCCATTTCTGCTGTAGAATATTTTGCTGCTAAGCTTAATGTGTATGTTTTTAATCTTTCGTATCTTGCTTGATGCTGTTTCTAACATTAGTAATTCTTTATCATACTGCTTCTTGTTTTGTGCATATTTAAGTGATATGTTTATGTTATATTTATTTACTTAGTCTAATGTACAGAATATTTTCTATGAAACATGAATGTTTTTTCCAAATTGTATTATTGTGAACACTGTTCATGACTGTTCCAATTTCTAATAGAGGCAGTGCCACCTGCCTGAATACACAAGGGCTGTGCAGTACGCAGATGGCGGCATTCATGATCTGTAAAATCATAATTTCAAAAAACATACTGTACATAAATATCTTCATCAAATAATGGTAATCTTCTTTTTCCATTTCTAGTGATCATGCTTTTTATTTCAAGTCTCCAGGTTTTTCCCACTGGAATCTATTCTTTCTTTGCCTACTTGACTGATGAAAGTGTTGAATCAATTTGACATTCTCATTTGAAAAAATAATTTATTTGGTGTAAAATGTATATGTTTGGTGTGTATACATATTTGTGAGTGCGTGTGGTAAATGTATGTATGTTATGTATTTAAATAATTGTCCTAAATTAATTTGTAATTAAGAAATACTGGATTTGGACTTGATGGCAGTCATTTATTAGTCTGTATTAATTAGTGGTTAGATTAATAAGGATTAGAGAAATTTCCTCTTCTGGGATAGTGCGTAAAAAGCAATAATTAATAAAAATGTGCAAAAGTGATTAATTTAAAGCACAAACTGATAGAATAGTTTTAATTTGCTTTTTTCTTTTTATACAAAGAAAATGGCACGGTCAAAATTTGAAAGCAGCTTTAGACAAAATCACTTATGTTTATGTCGATCTTTACATATGTTTTGTTAGATACCAAATAAATTGTTGTAAAATAGATTCAGATTTAGTAAATAATCCTATTTTATGTAAATAGTTACGAAATTTGCATATATGTATACATAAAATTTGAATATTCTTTCTTGATTTTAAACACAAACATTTTCCATTGAAAAATATATCCTTATAATTTGTGCCCAACTATCTTGAACTAGAAAATCATTCTACTTATTCTGTGGATGGGTGGGAGTGATTTATCAGAAGGTAATCTCTTGGGAAAAGTTGAAGGTAGTGTACTCCTGAAATTTGGTAAAACAATTTTTTGACACCAAAGCATCTCGTATCTACATATAAAGCCCTTCATTTGTAATGAAATATCTTAATCTAATTAAAAAGGTGAGTCTTTTAAATTTTGCATATTAATAATTTTTCCATACATATTTCTTCATAGAAATGCCTGTAGTTGCTCTAATGTTTTGATGCAAATACATTTTTACATTAGTGTTTTCAAAACTTGTAGTGTCATTAGAAGAATTTTAGAAGTGATACTGTTTTAACATTATGAATCAAGTACCTACCTTTGTTGTAAATACCATCCCATAAACACTGGAGAGTATTTGCAGCAGCATAGTGATAGCTAAAGAACAAAAATCAGATTGTTTCCTTTCTCTTTCCAAATTTTCAAAGTTCCACTTTCAACCATAAACAACATTAATGTAGCTAGGATGTGTACATACATTTTCACAATAATTTTGTTTTATTTTCCAGGACACTGTGACTTTTATTGCATGCATCTAGTTAAGTAGTGACTTTGTTAAAAATTGTATTTCTTTTCAGAAATTGAATGTGTGTATCAGAAAAGTGGAATTGCCCTACAAGTATCAAAATGCAATTTTGAAGTAGTTTTGAGATTTTGTATGCACAAAACTAAATCTTAAAAATCTTATTATGTCTATAATTATTAATTTCTCTTAATTTTTTTCTAATAAATTGAGGTTTTGTTGAGTACATTAGACACTACTCTAAGCTCTTTTAAAAATGCACATGAATTTCAAATCTTCGGAATGTGGAAGAAATAAAATTAAAGTTTTTCCAGGTTTAGAGGAGATACTGTGGTCATATTATTGTAATTCTTTTGCCAATTGAGCTACAACCAATGAATGTGATTTTTATTAAATTAAATTGGTATATATGCAGTCTTGCAGTTCAAAATATTCAAGAAAAATTGTGTGGGGAAAAAAGTTGAAAGCTTTTAAAAAACAATGAAACTTGAAAAGTTAAAAGAAAATGTCTTAATATTTAATTGGCTGTCTGGCTGATGCTGCGTCCATGGCAAAGGTGTCGACGTTTTGTAATTTACGCCCTGAGGAAGGTCGCAGAATGGCGACCAAAATGTCGGCACCTTTGCCACGGACATGGCGTCAGCCAGACAGTCAATTAAATATTGACTCCAGTTGCAGAAGTTTACGCTTTCAAAATGTCTGAAGTCAAAAATTTTACAGGTAGATATTTTAAAATACGAATGGGGCATTTTTAATTGTAGTTGTGCAAACACATTTATTAGGGACAAAAAAGAATTAGCTATAAAGTTTAACAGGGAAAGTTGCCCATAACACTTTGTCATTTTTAATTGATTTTGAGAAGAAGGTTAAAAAATAGTGAATGATGGTTTCATGTGAAAGGCTCTGGTGCAATTCTTCAAGCATCACCAATTTTTATTTAAATAATATATTTATAAAGGAAGATGCCACTAGTAAAGATCTTCATGAAGCCATATGATTGATAATCACAGGGAAAAGCTTAAAATGTACTAACATCTACTGTAGAAGGATGTTCTAATGAAATGCTCTCTCTAATGTCAGTCCATTCTGCAAAATTTGTGTAACAAAGAGGTTTTATCCATGATGTTAAGCAGAAACAATTTACCAAAAACTCCATTTTTGGTTTTGAATATTTACTATTGGACACTGTAACTCTAAAGTATATGCATAGGTAATATTCAGTTTGGATGTGAGTAATTTTAGCCTCTAACCCTTTTTAAAAAGCTTTCTTATTTAGAAGAATTTGTAAACTACATTTAGCTCTATAAAAAGATACATGTCTGAGACAACTGCCTATTAAAATAAAGAATATTCGTTTCCTAAGGCAGAAGAACATTCTGATTTGAGGCAATTCATCCCAAGTCTGATAATTTGCAACAAGAATTGTTTCTCTAAATTACTTTTTTATTAAAAATTAGATATGAAAATTCACATTTGTTTGGGTAATTAATGAAAAGAGTTTTTCATTTTGTCATAATAATTTTCCATTTTAAATTTTAACACCATAATTCTGAAAACTTCAAGAAGTGATGGATGATAATAAAGAAACCACTCCTAAATATAATTTTCTCCAATCAAAGGCTCTACTAATGCAAGTTTAAACCAAAAGGATTGGGTTGTATATCTGCTCTCAGCAGAACATTTGATGGGTTTCATAGGTGAACATTTGATCTAATTTGTTTCATGATTATCTTCTGCACTAGTGGAAAGTTCTTCCTCACATTTTAAAAGATTAATATTGCCTTAGTGATACTAGTATTGCCTATATTTGGTAACTTTATTACCTTTATTGGCAATATAATTTTCTTAATTTGTCATCCTAAATGTTTTAAATTCTTTCGGTATTTTGTTCACAATTGAAAAGAAGTATTACTTCAAAGTTGCATTTTTGTGAATTTCGTTTAATTTTTGTTATAGTTTTCTTAGGTTAGTGTTATGGTGGAAATACGAGTTACTGCAGAATTTACTATGTGTTAAGGTCTTTAATTTTATGGACTTTCTAGATTTTAACTTTGATGCAGTCTGTTTGGTACTGAGGTTAGAGTTGCTGGTCATTTTGCTATACGGCAAAGATTTGTGTTTTGGAGGTTACATGTCAAATGTGATTCACATAAATAAAGTAAAATATGAGCCATAAATTGTTCTAATGAATTTATTTTTCTTAAATACTATATGTTATATAAACACAGATTTAGGGACTAATAAAGTAGTAACAAAAAGGAATTGGGAAGTCTATTTTGCAGAATTTTGAAGTTAGTAGTTACAAAATTTACAGACATGTACAGACACTGTCTAACCTACATAAATATTGTATTACAACATTCTGCATCGTATTTCCTCCATAGCAGAACTGTAAATACTTAATAATTTGTGTATAGTAATCACTTAATTCACAAATTCTCATATTGAAATTTACATATTCAGATTATTGAATATTTGATTCCATATTTTCCACTTTGTAATGAACTATTATCTTATACTATCTTACCAAACCTTGTGCATTCATATTAAAAATATTAAATGTGAAGAAAATTTTTTGTTTGTTTGTTTTGCCAAACCTAATGGGTTTTGCAAGCATGAAGAGAGGTATCTATGTGCTTATAAACACCACCCTCAAAAATTTCTTAAGAAGAATTAACAATTACATAGCTTAACATGTAACTCTGAATTGAAGGGTCTAGTTTCAAAACATGACTTGTCCACCTTTGGTGAAAAATGAGATATTGGTTTCAATAGGGGTCCATTACAGTTTTGTGTCATTCCATAAAATTATTTATAACAAAACACGTTTTTTATTAACTTCAGTGTGCTTTATAATCGTGAATTAATATCAGAAAATTATTTTTCCATAATTCATTTCATTGCAAAGTACAATCTTTTCAATCCAGCAATCAGGGATCCTTGTGTCCGTACATTTTGGAATCATATTATATCAAAAGAAAATTTATCATTCTACAGAAATCTATCTGGCCTAGGCGTTGATTAAGCTGATACTGAGAAAAATCAGTGTGAAAATC